ACACATTGTCGGCGCTGACATTTTCCTTTTCTTGCCTAATTAGCTGTCCTTTCCCCTTGCCTGCTGTGGTGTCAGCCAATCGGCGAAGGCCAGTCATTACACAAGCTTTATTTCAGGGTCTTTGTCAAATGAAGAATGAATGTGACAGTTCAATCTAACCTTGGCAATAAACCTCACATGGCCCCCCCTTCTCTGCTGATTCGAGATTCAGCTTAGTTATTATGTTTGGACACACTGCATAGGACTTTGTGTCTATTTGAAATGCCACCCTGTTCTTTCATTTTATGTTTTAATCTCACTTTTTTTCTTTCTCTTTAGTTTTGGATGTCTGCCTTGGCCACCACTATCCCTGTGCCCTGTGGAGCTTTCATGCCTGTGTTTGTCATTGGTAATGAGCAATTTACAATGTGTGTTTTAGAACAGTGAGCTCAAGTCTGTCTTTTTGGAATAGGTGAAGTTAGGCTGTCATTTAGGAAGTTTAATCAGCCCCATCAAAGACTTGGTTCAACAGATAAAACAGGAGAGAGATGACAAATTACACAGGATGTTTTAAAAAGTCTTGTTACAGCATCAGTATCATATAAACTTTTTGCTTCTGGTGCAACCAAAAGAAAGTAGTGACTGAGAGGACAGCCTTTTCCTAAAAGCAAGGACAAAACCCATCAGAATTGTTCAGAACTATTATGGCAGAACCCTGATTGGGTCCTAATCGTAATTAAAAATGTCTGCACATTTTGCAGACATTTTGATAAATGTCTGCAAAATGTGAAGACATTAAGACACACAATGATGGTCTGTGTTTTTCTAACATATCAGCATATGTGAATATTTCAGATCAGCTATAAAAATTCTGAGAAATATGAGTATGGTAAAGATTTTTTGTACAATGTAATAAAAATGCAAATGTGGTGAGGAATATATTTGCTCTCCAAGCAAAATAACCCTGAAAGTAGACCATAAAAGGCTAAAATAAGTTTCCAAAAAGCCTGAGATGACATCACAGGACCATACATTCTCAAGTTTAACTTTAATAGAGGTGTACAAGGGGAAAAAATATGTTGGAAAAAATGAGACACAAAGAATTTTGGATCAAAGTTCTTTGTACAGATGAGTCAAAATGTGAAATATTTGGACACAAGAATAAAGAGCATTTTTGACTAAATGCAACATTCCAGGAAAACAACGTCATACCAACTGTGAATGTAGCACTGCATGATGGAATGTGTTAAATGTAGTATTTATAGTTTCCATTGTACAGAAATTTAGGTTTATTACTTCTCTACATGTAGGGAGAAACCCGAGGTCTGACTGTTTGTTTCTTCATCCCTGTGTCCCTGTGGTTTGGCTATTGTAGGAGCAGCGTTTGGTCGTCTGGTTGGAGAAAGCATGGCAGCCTGGTTCCCAGATGGCATTCACTCTGATGGATCCATCTATCCCATAGTGCCAGGAGGCTACGCTGTTGTGGGTATGTTGAGCACTCATTAATTTATTACCAGATAACTTTTTTTTCTTCTTTTCTTTCTGGTTATGCTTTTGAATAAGTATGAATGTCTGATTTTGTGTATTTGTAGCATTCATGTAGTTTTATTCTTATTAGGTTTGAGTTCCCATCTCAAGACCAAAACTTTCTAATTCACCACAAATAAATAACCTGAAAAAGTTATCAGAGTTGAACATAATGGAAACAAAAATGACCCAACAAAATCAACCGAATGCAAAAGTACTTTTTTGAAAGAGGTTAATTATAACACAATCATCACTTGTTGGTGAACTTTATTAGTAAAGATTCAATAGGTTTTTTTATATACTGTAGATGAGTGGTAGAAATGATTGATTTTACTTTCTTTTTTTTTAACAGTGATTACACATCCACAATATTTCTTAAAGTTGCGCATGTGAGATCCAGTGTCGCTGCAGTCCTACTTGTTGACAGCAGTGCTGATTATGCCTCTGCTGCAGCCTCGGCGCCTGCTGTTTTCCTTTTTTTTTCTGGGCTTGCTGATGCTGTTGTGCTGTGCTGTAGCTGATGACTCAGCCCTTTGCAGGCCCGACATTCTGATGAGCCTCTTTCATCTCACAGCAGAGCTCGCTCTAAGGACTGAGCATTAGGACGGGTGGAGAGAGCAGCAGCAGCATTTATCTGAGGGGAGGGAGGCGGACAAGGCCTAATTAAGTTATGGGAAAGAACAATGAAACCTGCTGGTGCAAACTCTCCCATCTAGCATCTGTTTGTTCATTCTCTCCTCGTATTGCTCTCTCTTTAATTCTCTCATTCTCCTCTGTTCCTCTTTTTATCCACTGTTTAAATTGGACTCATCCATTTTCTTTCTGTATGAAGACTCATTCACACCATGCTGCTCTATCTGATTAGTCCCAGATTTTATACAACTCTTTCTACATCACTTTTGAGAAAGGGGGAAAAAAAAGAGGTTGATGCAGAGATTTCCTCCAGTATTAAATTAGATGCGTGGGTCGATTTCTGCTTTATGGGTGTGTAGGAGAAGAATGTGAATTTATTTAGCTGAGC